TCCACAGCTTAGTGCCCTGCAAGCAAGAGCACAAATCAAGAGCAAAGACAGTAATAAAAGCAGGCAGAAAAGTGAAACACCCCAGAGGCAACAAGACACACGAGTAGTCCTGTACACAATCCAAGAGATGCTGCACACCACAGCTCTCAGATGCTTAAGAAGGGGGACTCCCCTCTTTCCTGATGACACAGCATTATAGGGGTAGACCTGCCCCCAGTACATTTCTTTCTCTCAGTCTGCAGTTTTATCTGAGCAAGCTTAGTGACCCTACAGGCACCAGACTACACAGCCCGCAGGGATAAGCATGTGCTCAGGCTGGAGCCATTTAACATCACTCCAACAGGTCTAGCACATCTCCTTCTCGGCAATGACAGGGGAGCTTTGCAGCCTTTGATCTCATTAACAGGACTGCCAGCTCGAAGGGTGCGATCAGCAAGATCGCTCCTCAAGAGAAGAGATTTCCAGGCTGAGGTTCACAGGGTCCTGGTGGGAGATAAGCAGCAGACCCATGAAATCACAGCTTCCTTGGCATTTTCAGCAGAAGGCTGAGAAAATGCATAACAACCTTTGAGAAGTATGTAGGGAATAATCAGGATCCAAAGAGCTCAAGAACTGCTTGCTACAGACCCAGTGTTACACAGGCCTCCAGCAGCCAGCATGCAGAGGCCACTTCTGCTCATCGCTTCCATTGGGGATTCCTAAAACTGTTCACAACGGAAGTGGTATCAGCACTCCTGTGATGACTCAGGTCCTGTTGTTTTCATCATTTCATCGGAGTAGTCCATTCATCATAAATGGTGATCACAAGATCACAAAGTAGTTTCAGACTCCTCTTCTTTCCAGAGGCATAAAGCCCTCAGCGGTACTACCTTAAAACGGTGGCATTTGGGGAAACTGTTCCACAAACTTCCTTTCAAGAGTGGTCAAACTGGGGAGAGGTCAGCCTCTTCCATGAATAATTTTCTCTCCAATAAAGTGCCCTGCTCTTCGGATTGCACTGTACCAGGCACCTCTCATTTCATAGAATCATAGAATCGTTTGGTTAGAAAAGACCTTTAAGATCATCAAGTCCATCCATACCTGTTGACCACTTAACCCTGTCCCTAAGCACCTCGTCTGCACGGATTTTAAATACCCCCAGGGATGGGGACTCAACCGCTTCCCTGAGCAGCCCCTTCCAGTGCTTGACAGCCCTTTTGGGGAAGACATTTTTCCCAATGTCCAACCTAAACCTGCCCTGGCGCAAGTTGAGGTTGTTCCTTCTTGTCCTATCACCCATTACCTGGGAGGACATCGATCCCCTCATCCAGATCATTCATAAAGGTGTTAAACTGAACTGGCCCCAATACTAAGCCCTGGGCAACACCATTTGTGACCAGGCTTCGACTGGATTTAACTCCATTCACAACCACCCTTTGGGCCCAGCCATCCCGACGTTTTTTTACCCAGCAAAGAGTCTACCTGTCCAGGCCATGAGCAGCCAGTTTCTCCAGGAGAATGCTGTGGGAAACAAGTGTCAAAGGCTTTGCTAAAGCCCAGGTACACCACATCCACAGCCTTTCCCTCATCCACTAAGCAGATCAGGTTGGTCAAGCAGGACCTGCCTTTTGTAAACCCGTGTTGACTGGGCCCGATATTCCGGTTGTCCTGTATGTGCCCCGTGATGGCACTCACAATGATCTGCTCCAGGACCTTCCTTGGCACTGAGGTCAGGCTGACAGGCCTGTAGTTCCCCAGATCCTCCCTCTGGCCCTTCTTGTAGATGGGCGTCACATTTGCCAAACTCCAGTTGACTGGGGCCTCCCTGGTCAGCCAGGTCTGCTGATAAAGGATAGAAAGGGGCTCGGTGAGCACCGCCACCAGCTCCCTCAGTACCCTTGGGTGGATCCCGTCCGGCCCCATAGACTTGTGTTTGTCTAACTGGCCGAGCAGGTCACTAACCATTTCCTCTTGGGTCATGGGAGCTTTGTCCTACTCCCTGTCCCTGTCTTCTGGCTCAGTGGGCTGGGTACCCAGAGAAACGCTGACCTTACTATTAAAGACTGAGGCAAAGAAGGTATTAAGTACCTCAGCCTTAGCCTCATCCTCTGTCAGTATGGTTCCCCCTGCATCCAGTAAAGGATGGAGGTTCTCCTTGGCTCTCCTTTTGTTGTTAATATTTTTAAAGAAACATTTTTTATTACCTTTCAAAGAATTGGCCAATTTAAGTTCTAGTTGGGCTTCAGTCCTTCTAATTTTCTCTCTGCATGACCTCACAACATCCCTTTAGTCCTCCTGAGATGCCCGCCCCTTCTTCCAAAGCTCATAGACTTTCTTCTTCTTTCTGGGATCCAGCCAAAGCTCTCTGTTCAGCCAGGCTGGTTCTCTTCCCCAACGGCTCATCTTTCAGCACATGGGGATGGCCTGCTCTTGTGCCTCCAGGATTTCCTTCTTGAAGAGCATCCAGCCTTCTTGGGCTCCTTTGCCCTTCAGGACTGCCTCCCTTCCAAGCAGTCCAAAGTCTGCCCTCTGGAAGTCCAAGGTGGCAGTTCTGCTGACCCCCTCCTTACTTCTCCAAGAATCGAGAATTCTATCACTTCACGATTGCTGTGCCCCAGACATCCTCCAATCATCTCATCACCCACAAGGCCTTCTCTGTTCAGAAACAACAGGTCCAGTGGGAGCCTTCCCTAGTTGGCTCACTCACCAGTTGTGTCAGGAAGCTGTCTTCCACACACTCCAGGAACCTCCTAGACTGTTTCCTTTCCGCTGTACTGTACTTCCAGCAGGCATCTGGTAAGTTGAAGTCCCCCACAAGAACAAGGGCTAGAGATCGTGAGGCTTTTCCCAGCTGCTTATGGAATATTTCATCTGTCTCTTCTTCCTGGTTGGGCGGTCTATAACAGACTCCCACCATGAGATCTGCTTTGCTGGCCTGCCCCCTGATTCTTACCCATAAACATTCAACCCTATCATCACTATCGCTGAGCTCAAGGCAATCAAAACACTCTCTAACATACAGGCCTGCCCCACCGCCTCGCCTTCCTTGCCTACCCCGCCTGAAGAGTTTATAGCCACCCATGGCAGTACTCCAGTTATGGGAGTTGTCCCACCACGTTTCTGTGATGGCAACTATATCATAGTTCTGCTGCACAATGGCTTCTAATTCCTCCTGTTTGTTGCCCATGCATTAGTACAGATGCACTTCAGTTGGGCTACTGATCCCGCCACTCTTCTGAGGGGAGAGGTCTTAGTTCCTAAGTGACTAATCACAGTTATTACTAATCCGCCAATAACCCTTGCATCTTTGCTGCCGCTTGGATTACTATCCAACACTGAGGTGGCAGACCAAAGGGCCTTGCTAGCACACTGTCCCTCACACATTGGCATGCCATCCCCAGGCTTATTTCTAGCAAGCCTGGTTTCACCCCCTCCCCCTTCAAACCTAGTTTAAAGCTCTTTCAGTGAACCTTGCTAACTTCTTCCATGTGCTCTGCAAGTGTCTTAAAGCCCAGTCTCTTATTAAGACCACATAAACACAGTGAGCAGAGCCACCGCTGTTCCTGATGCCACACTGACACGCACAGATGGAGCACCTTTCAGTGCCATATGCCACCGTCTGCTGCAGCACCCATAGAGAAGCCTACCCCGTTGCCAAACTGCTGGCAAGAGAATTGCCATGGCTTTGTCCTACCTTCAAGTAGGAGCCGTAGTACCGGGTGATGTA